CCTCAGAAAAAGTGACAAAAACTGAAAAAAATTATGAAGTCATCATGATATAATATATTAAGTCGTCTCAGATAACAAGCGCAGTGTGTGGAAAACTTTCATAAAAAAAGGAATTACTTGTCTGTCATAAAATGACAGAATATACGGCAATCCAGTTATCGTCGTTTCTTCGTTTCATATCCAATAAAATCTACTGAGCCTGAGGCGAATAATTGTTTAGTAAAATTGCACGGGTACTTTCGAATAATTTTGTAAATTCCTTTTGATGTTGAAGACATTGTGTTACAATTGTCCTGATATCTCATATCGAGATAAGAATTTGACAGGTTTATGTAGGTCAATCACCAAAAACTTCATATCTTTCTTTTGAAAAGTGTAACGCCATACTTAGCTCTTCAGCATACCGTATGTACTCGATTAAACGCCGCGGTAATTATTCCATTTTTCGTGATTCGATTGCTGCGTTTATTCGAGGGCGGCGTTCATTTAAAATCCAAACAACAATATGGTAACTGACCATTTTCATCTTAAAAAACAGAAACATGTTTTAGTGTTTGTTTAAAAGTCATATATTTTGTTATATTGTTCTCAATTTCACAATTTGTAAGTTAATAGTACTGCAATACATGAAGTGAACAAAGATCTTGTGTCAAATATGCTTTCTCGATATCAGAACTGGTACATTCAAAAGGATTTGTGCCTGGTTCAGTCAAAATTTCTAACTGTGATCGAAGCACTGATCGCTGTGAGCTTTTTGAGTCTATTAGTTGAATAAACGTCGCAAGATGATGCGGCGTTTATTCGAGGGCGGTGTTCATTAATATTTCTGCTTTAAAATGCGGCGTTTATTCAAGAGCGGCGTTTAATCGAGGGCAGCATTTAATCGAATAAATACGGCAGTATTTTTAACATCGAAAAAACACGAGGAAGCCATTTTAATACCCCTGGTTTAATCAATTTGCACGAGGTGATAACAACGAGTTATGATGGAATCCTCGACGGATCAGAACGTGTGCATCTTTACAGGCTTCTATTCGCCGGAGCAATTATACTAATTTCTTGTCATATCCATAAGAAGAATTCATTAACACCACTTACCACTTTGAATAAATTGTGGCACAATATCCGTGAGCTAATTAAACCACGAAGGCGACGGCAACAAGAGCGTGACGAAACAAAAGATGTAATGAGCATATCAATACTTAGGTCAGTACGACGTTAAGAGGTTGACAGCCCATTGGAAATTAAGGTTGAATGATTTTGAGATATAGAGCCATACTGTTTTTGTAGTCACTTTTTGAGGTAAAGTATAAGTAACATTTCGTTAAATGCATTCACACTTAAGCAGAGAGTTGATGGTCGTTACTCGTAATTTATTCTCTGAGATCACCCAGCGCTAGAGCGAATTTTAGCCAATTTTGTTTGCATAAGTAATAAATCTGTCACCAAGTAACGTAAAATAAGTACTACCCCCAGTTACAAAAACTCGCCAATTTTTTGCGGATTGCCAAATTTTCGCCAATCTTCAAAGAAGCCGAAGTGCTGCCTCGAAGGCTTCCAAATTTTGGCAAAGCAAACAATTTTGTTTGTTTAACCATTGAGCTGCCATATTTCTTCAAACATACTTGCATCAAGTTACGGCGGGAAAAATTACTTTGTTCGGCTAGTGCAGGTTCGCACGTACGATGTCGGGACAAAATTATTTTTTTCCCGGTCCATCTGACCCTTCTTTCTATGGTTTTTACAATGGAAACGCGGAATACGAGCGGCAGTTTTTTGTAAATGCCAATGACTCCTACCAGGATCCGGCTACCGCATCAACAATACTAAAAACGCTGCGTTGTTCTGTTGAGACTGAAACACAAAATTCAACAAAAGCCCGAAAGCCGCGAAAATAATCACCTGTATATGACGATCCATTCTTGCACAAGCAATGCGCGAGATGTTTTCTTTACTGTAGATATCGTGACATGACATATATGTCAATCAGCGAAGTTTTGGCTCAAACATGTTGGTCCAATGCGACCACCGCCAAAATTTGGCCCTTGCGAAATTTTTGCCAATTTTTTCCTCGCCAAAAACTGGAAGTAAACAAAATTGGCTCTAGTGCGACCCGGCCCTAATTCACATAATTTAGATATTCTTTAACAGGATTATTCACTGTAAAAGCTGTAAACAAGGTGTAATAATTGATGGGATAATCGCACTTGTGGTCTGTTGACCACCCAGGAGTTGTGCGTCCGATGCCAATCAGCTGTCATCAACTTGCAATATACCCATGTGCATCAATTGTTTCCCGAATAGCACCGGCACACAAAGCTATGATCAAATATTTGGCTGGTAATTTTGAATGAAAATGAGGTGGATTGAAAGTTTAGCGTGCAGTACAAAATGTGGAATACAATCAAATTGAAACCATTTGATTTTAGATGTCGGTGCCCTGCTGAAACATGCAAGCTTTGTATAGTTAATCAGTCGAGGTTCCATAATCCGACAGAAGTACTAATTAGCGCTTTAAGAGTTATCTAACGAACCAAGAGCTCTGAAGTTGACCAGATGGCCACTTTTCATGCAATGGTTGCGGTAATCTAATGATAACAACTGTATTGACTGAGAAAGAACGATCAGTGCGTACAGACGCATTCGGAAATGTTCGGGTCCTCGCAGAGGGGTCTAAATTGGAGGCAAGGCGCTGAGATAAATAACTTTATTTCCCTATCTAACGACCTACCAGGTATCATTTAAAGAAATCGAGCTATTGAGTAATTTGATTGGAATTGCTGATTATTGATGGGGTATTTTTATTGGAAGGCCATACTTTTGAGCAACGTGGGGGACTGTGCTTTTCTTAGTTTCAGCGAGGCCATAAGTAATCGAGCCAACTGGATTTGGTCGCATGATGTTTGATATCAAATAAGCCACTTGAACTACTTTGAAACGATTCTCTTACGCTGAAGATTAAGGCGAAAAATGTATCAACTGAAAGTCGTTAATCTTCTTGTTATTATAAAGTCAAAGTAAGTGTTATCCAAACAGATTATCTCTAGAAAGCTTGTTGCATTTGGTATTTCACTTTGGATTCCTTACCTCTGTCTTTATTTGGCAAAAATAAAAAAAACAATTTTTGTCTTAAATATCAAAGAGGACACAGCTTAGACCGGTTTGTTGTCCGTCTCAATATCGGATAGCCAAAGGCGGTACTTTTGAGAGCGCCTTTGAGCTGGCGCACATTTTTGACCAGGTTGCATTCTCGGAGAATCAAGGCGCGCTGTATTCAGTGATAATTGACATAGGTGTCAGAGTGTATTACCGCTTCGAGCTCCGGCTGGGCCATTTCCTCTTCGCACACCTTCAAGGGGAAAGGAAGATTTGAGCACCTGAGGTGCGTTATGTTTTATTTAAATACATGTTTAGAAATTATATTCAATCTTGGAAATGGTTATGCTTATTTCCAAAACATTGATAATAGGTCTAATTTTTTTTCTTTCTTTGTTTTTTTTGTTAACCAATGGATTCATGGTCTAAGATGTGCACCTAGAACTGACTTTGAAGTTTCCCAAAGATTTCTGGTATATATATTGCGTGTCAGATACTGATTGTATTGCTCAGAGGGTCTGTCGAAAAACACGTTTTCTAATGCCTTTGACACCGATATAGAAATATTTCTGATATATTAGATAGACACGTTCAAAGCCTTCGTATACGTTCATGTCACAGCAATCTCAGCAACTTTCCGCACTTCTTCAGGAGGATCGAAGGTAATGAGATTATAGGATCTTAGCGCACACTTACCTCTAATCCAACATTAATTGTCTTCATGCACGACAATCTGGCGTATCTTGAGTAAACAATTTTATCTCGACCTAGGAGTTATATTTTGATGTTCTTTCGCGCTGAAAGATAAATCCTTTTTACAATTATCACTTTTGTAATTTCAGGTTCAAAACTTAATTCATTGAGAGCATGTAATATAACTTTTTTTTAGTCTTTTCCGAGTGTTTTGCGCATTTTATCATAGTTTTTAATGTTAAAATGCGCAATAAAAGCAATTAGAATTGTTATTATTATTATGATTAAAGGGAGAGTGACGGAGAAAATTGTAGTTTTAAAATATATTCACGAAGAAGTAAGAAAATTTCAACGTCCTTGTTAGAATAAACAAGGTCTTTAACAGCCGAATTTTACGGTAGCGTGACTGACAAGTTGAGCAGAAAGACTATGGTAATATAGAAAGGGAAAGGTTACAACAATCTGTTAAAACGTTTTTTCTTCTTGACTCGTGGTATCCCTTTCAAATGAGGGAATTGGCATGCATGCGTTTCCGCACGTGACGAGAAAACAGACAAGCGTTATGAGGTTAAATCAGTTTTAAGTGGTTATCTCCATTTTGCCCACATTTTAATAAGTCTAGGAGAATAAGATGGGTTTTGGTATTAATTATGATGGTTTTATTTATTCCACGGCTCACAAACTAAGTACAAAAGCGGGAGCAATTAAATCCTACGGAAGTGTATGAAACTATGGAAATTTGGGCTACGTAACACAATCAAAATACCAGCCTTATACTCATGGATAGGAAGTGAAAACCTGACAAAGGCTCACCGGTGTACTGCTCTACGCAAAGGTCTGCTTTCATGGAAAGTCACATCACTACATCATATAGAAAGATCGGCTAAAGCGTAGATTAACAGTGTGATTGCACAACAGCGTAACACTTTGTCACAGTAGACCGTTATTTCAGATGAACATGCCAACTACTTCTGATCGTTTGAGGGTTTTCGTTTCCTTCCTAGAGATTCCCTATATAGAGAGATACACAGCAGGATAATCTAAGCTTGTTAGTAATTTGAGGAAGTTCATAGGAACCGTGAGAACGTTCTGTTTTCATTGGTCAGCCTCTAAGCGGAATCGCGCGCGATGAATAATTTTTCAGTTTTTCATAGGGCCGTCCCTTTTTACTTCAGGTTTTCAATTACTAAGAATATCAGTTGTTCTTCCGCCATTTCTGCCAAAGGAGTAGACCAGCAGCAAGGGAAGACTTAGACTGAGAAGACCAAGTGGTTAAACAAGATTTGGGTTTCAGCAAGGTACGATCAGGAATACGCTCGTACACTTACATTTACAGAGCATGTATAAGTTAAGCGTTGACCTTTGAATGTCACATTTTGCTTTTGTAAGCTAAAACTTACGTGCTGCTTTAGTTAAGTGTTTTTTTAGTGCCTCAAATTTTGCTATAAGTTGTCGATCAATTCAGCAATAGTGTAGATTAATCGCAGCTGGGAGAGACCATCTTACATACGTATGACCGTTCGTACCGAGCAAAAGAAACGTCTCTGCCTTTTTTAGGAAGCCAAGTCACACTAGAATAAGACATATAGTAAGCTTTGAGGTCGGTAAAGAAATAGAGAAAGAGGTTTTTTCGTTTTATCACGTGCGTGGGACAAAGAAAAAATTCTGAGTCCCTATGAGGAGTCGAACCTCAGACCTTCGGATTCCGCGCTACGATGCTCTACCACCGATGCTCTATGGTGAGGGAGATCTATTATGAAGTTCATATGACACGCTTCCTGCATACTGTTAGGATCAGCAATGTCGATAGCGTCATGTTTGTAAACAGTATAGGAAAGATGGTAAGTTTTGAGCGCGGTCGGTAAAGAAATAGAGAAAGGTGTTCCCGTCTTGTCACGACCGTGGGACAAAGAAAAAATTCTGAGTGAGGAATCGAACCTCAAACTCTAGTCACACTTGTCTGCTTCGATCGAACGAGCACAGCCCTATATTCAACATGCAAAGCTCCTAAAGTATCAGAGGTTGTTGAGTAAGGAGTTTAGTATAACGGATTGCAGAATGTATAAAGAGATATTTTTGAATAAATCTCTGAGGAGAAAGCACCGTCAAAATGATTCCTTTTAAAGTTGTATTACCTTTCCAGGAGATTCCGTCCGGTACAGATGCCTACAAGTAATTTATTGATTACAATCGTCATGATAACAACTACACAATTTGCAAGCGCTATTTTCGTGGTTGCTCTTTTGGTATCAGAAGTCAATGAGGAGGGGGTATTCGGTAAGTAAGCCTGAAAGTTTGAAGAGGTTTTTTCTCTTTCTTCTTCTCTTTTGATAACTATCAAGCTGATTTCATCAATCTCTTGAAACAAAGAAAAAATTACTTTAACTTTAAATACTCCTTTTTATCTGCCATGCTAGTCTACTTTCTTTAGCTGAACGATTTTGGTGTAAAATCAACTCATAACCTTTACTAGGCATTTTTGTTTTCCTCGTTATCTGTCCGCTTGAAGAGTGTATTTTAACTATTGTTGGAATTGTTCAAACGCACCCATTTTTTACGTACTTTTACATCCAAGTAAAGAATGCCTAAAACTTGAAAGTCTACTCTATCGAATCGATGTCTTCCTCAGCTTGATTGAACCCAGCGCGAAGCCAATCTGAAGTCAGTACAAAATGTCTGTAAGCCCTAGAGGAAAAAAAATGCGAGAAAATACACCCGCTAAGGTCTCACAAGTACTATGAGAATTAATTATGACCTAATCCCTTGAATGAGAGGAGAAAAGAGAGAAACAATCTTTCTCTGGTCAAGTTGAAAACAAAGGAAAGAAAACCACCATAGAACAATCTCTACGTTGAAGGGACTTTAACAAAGTGTTCTCAAAATTGATATAAACATCCTCTCTACAAATTGATTTTCTCTGCCGCTGGGTAAGAGAAACGTAAAACTAATTGTGCTGATTACTCTGTATTTGAACAGGTCAGTGGGTCGTGGAAGCCTTATAACTGCGTGTGCAGTCTAGGAACGTGCCGAATTTTCATGAGCGATATCCATGCCTCAATTAAACTGTTATTGACGACTGTAAAGTAAATGCTAGGTGGTTAAACATTTTATCGATCTATAGGTAATAGTTGGAAAGGACATTTTAACAAATACTTTTGTAAATATTTCTTAGCTTTGTTGAAACGTAGAGCTCAACGTAAAATGAATTTTTTTGAAAGGAAATTTTGCTATACTTGTTGAGTAGCCTAGTTCGGAATCGAACATCTTGATGTATAGAAATTGCATAGAATGAAGAATTTAAATTATAAACAAAGAAGTGGAATAAAATTGCTCATCCTTCCTCAGTGTTATTGTGGAAAGTATATGCAATGTAAAGCTGAATATGTGGTCGGGTGCAGCTTTCCTTATCCTAGCATTTAGCTCTTTACATATACTCACTTGCAACAGAACTTGTCGTTCCTTGTCCCGACAACGGCGAACTATCACACTACCGGTAACCATCACAAAGGTCATCGAATGACTGAGTGTTCTTAACACAAGAAGCTTAGAAGCATTTGAATTTATTTGCGATTAAGATGTTTCCTGTTGGTCTCCTGGCGGGATTACTTTCATTAATACCATTGTCGGTGAGTTGGTTTTCTTGCCGGTTTATTTATTCCTTCGATATTTCAATCACAATCGTGTTGTGGATTTGATAAAATTATTTTTCAAGGACAGAAAAGTTTGTGTCACCTTTTTACTGACGCAAGTAACACAACATTATTTCATTAGGTACTATGCTCTATTAGCAACTGTGCTCATTTAGAAGAGTTACGTTCAACTGAGCCAGCAACTTCAATAGCGACAATGCAGTTACTTTTCCTGCCAAGGTGCACCACGGTTTTTGATCGTGCAATTTAACAAATTGAAAAATTTAAATATATAAGTTTTTCGTTTGAAACCTATGTAAATTTTGTTAATGGTCACTCGAAACCTTTTTTTTTCAAGCTATACCCACCTTATGAAATAGGCATATTATCCAACTGAGAAATGTCTTCATTCTGTGGCAATCGTTAGGGCAAGCGAGTAGATTATCAAGTCAAATGACTGAAAGACAGTAGCCATAATAGACCATAATAGACCATTCGTCACATTTCTCACCGGGGAGGGGGAAACAGAGTAGGTCAATCGTTTGCCAAAAGAGTACAAAGAGGGACTATTTAAACAAAAAACTGATTGCAAATTGACTGCCAATTAGGGAGAAATCAAACACATTATAGACCATTGTGGGGGGATCAGGTAAATTTTGTGTTGACACAACCTTTCAACCCTCCCCAGGTGATAAATGAATTTTAAATATCAAATTCCCTTGAATTAAAACGACCGGAAGTTGGTGATACTTCCGACCGCCAAAACGTCAAAACTTAAATCACATGACATGCACATCGCTTCAAGACCGAGTCGACCAGACCTGAATTACGATTCAGCGCCTAGCAATTAGCACAGCCTGATTATTTACAAGAAATACAGAAATTTCCAATCAAAGAAACTTTCAAGGGTTCGAGGTTCAACACTTCCGAGAGAAGCATTCGAATGTGTTTGAACTTTAGGCTATCGACAAGCGAAAGCGTACGTTGTGCACAGTTTGTCAAGTGTTTTGGAACCAAGCAAGTAAGTAATCAAAGAAAGTTTTCGTTTGCACGTCCTGAACTCAATTCATCGCTCCGAGTTACGAGTCACAAACCTACCAAGATAAGCATTCAGTTCAATTTTCAAAAAGACTTTAAGCTATCTTGAAGCGTTGTACACATTTTCAGTTGCATTGCTTTACAGTGGCTGGCGAATGAAAGAAACCAATTTTTATGCATGCCATTTCGAAGATGAGCATCAGTAACTGAAGATTCTGACAGAGCGTAGCAATTTCATGAAAAAATCTACAGTTCATCGTTAAAATATTGAAGGTAAGTGGCTGGGTTTTTTTCCTGTTATGTCAGCGCTGTAATTTTCCTCGACGGTCCTTGACTGTTGACTGATAGTGCAAGTGATAGACTCTTGTTTTCGAGTTCTGGGAAATATGCACGCACGCTTCTATTTTCGTGGCGCGTGCAGTCAAAAAGCAATCAAAAGCTATCTCAATGCCCGATCTTGTTTGCGTTTTTAGACTTTGCCATCTGTCGGCCTTTCCTAACCGATCGAAGGCGGTGCTCAATGGATCGAATCTTCTATATCTTTCTTTTTATTCTGATGATATTTATAATTACGAGGTTTGTATTTCACTTCTCAAGGCTGACAAGATGATATCCCAGAAGGATCGACTCTGTTTTTTCATGCATGATGTAATCTTCGGCATGGTTAAATCTCATGTCAACAACGGTGTCCTGTGATTACAATGGTATGAAAGCATAGGTCGGTTACCTTAGCATCAAAACAATAACGCCTCGCCTCGTTAAAAGAGAGAATGTCCCTATACTTGCTGATTACTGTGTTCGCTTTCTTTGTCTTTTTATTTCTTTCTCTATACACGGTATTACACCCCAAAACATACATCTTTTAGATAGCGTTTTCTCATGCTTTAGATGTAACTTCGAAACTCCACTTTATGACGGCCCAGTGGTAAGGGATTTCAGCTTATCTCGAGTCTTACACTTACTTTTTTACTCTGGTGTCACCGCAAATGTGAATGGGAAACAGACAGTTAATGAGATTACACACTTTCCTGAGTGAAAACTCGCTGAACGTCGCAATTTTGCCTCAGAAATCAATCGCTGGGCGGTAGCAACAACCCGCAGGATGTAAACGACGTATCGGCTGCAGCGATGTACAAGCTAAATTTTTCCCGTTAAATGTCTCCAATCTATGGTTTTTTTTCCATCAAGTCGATCATTAATTTGAACACAAAAAGTTAAGGAAACTGTTCAGAATTTTGAGTTATAGCTTAAAATTGCAGCATAAATAATTGCATTTGTAAATAACTTGAAATTTGCACATTATTTTTTTAGATGTAATTATTAGTTAAAGAAAGTAATAATAGCTATCAATTCGATTCAAACTTCTGGAAGGCTTGGGTGACTTTTGGTGAATCAGTAGACAAGGATCACCTTACCTCACCCCGACCTTACCCACCACCCCCCGTAAGCGTAATCTGTTATCAACGGAACAGATACATGGCAACGTGGAATTCAGTCGCTGATAAGAAACTTTCTAAGAAAACAAGGTTATGGCTATGTATTTAGCAAAACATTACTTATTCATACAGAATTGCTGTTCATACAGCTGTATCAGCAATGTCATGTCATGTCATGTCAATGTCATACTTAGGTATATTAATAACAGAATCAGCCTTATTATTTATTTCACCTTCCACCGATTCAGTTTCACCATCCTCTTTACACGGATCTGAAGGTATATCAACAGAAGTAGAATTGTCATTTACTTCATTTTGAACCAAAGTTTTATGGACAGAATCAGTTGTATCATTTCTTGGAGTATCAAATTTATCTTCCAACTGACTCGCAAAATACATCAGCCCAGCTTTTCTGGTAGCTTCTATCAATCCTCTGATGGTGCTTCCCTCTTTTTCGCCAAATGCCTTGAGAAGGCTTTCAATTGGATTTTGAGCTCCTTCCCATCCTCTGGACTCATTTTGGAAACCAAGTTCTTCCGCTACACTTTGCCAGTAAAAATAACCTAAATTACGAACAACATGGAAAACTGCTCGAATGGAACATCTTAAGCTCAGGTTTAGAGCTTTGAGGGAAAACTGCGTGCACCACTGCACACTGCATTTAAAGACAACTTGTCTAAGTAGTGGTGATTTCCATGAAGGAATTGATATTTTCTTCATTCTCATCACTTCTATGCTTGATATTGTATTGGTATTGTGAGGAGAAATTCTTTCTTGGTCAATCATGGGAGATGAAGGGTTAAGAGCTTCTGCCTACCTCCAATATCTTTGTCACTCAGGAAAATCATGATTTGCTTCTTTTCTTTAATCCTTAAAGTTTTAATCGGACGATCCAATCCTAGAATGAAAATAATAATTGACGAAATGAAGCAACTGTGGTGATTGATAATGGTAATAGGACCGAGTGGAGTCCAATTCGGTCTGTAATCATATGAGTGGTTGATAAAATTGGACGACCGCGTGGCGGGTTTCTGATTTATCAATCATGAGTATGATTGCCGACAGACTTGGACGAAAGAAAGTTCTGTTACTAAGTAATCAAAACTTTGACAAAATTTGAGAAAGAAACTGGACATTTGTTTTACGTTTCCATAAAAAAACAAGCCAACAAACAGACAAACAAAAAACAGTTAACTTGGTGAAATGCGAGACAATAGCGCGCACACATGACGTGTTCTGTCCACTTACAGGCATGAAGTGTTTAATGTCCCTTTAAATGTCCTATTTCACTGTCCAATATAAGTATGACGCGTACACTGTCCTATTAGTGCTCAAATCGGGCTGGTGATAACCAACCACGTTCGAGAGTTTTGTTATAGTTTTGATTATGACATAAAAATCTGAGGCGGAACTAGGTTTTTGTTCTGGGAAAAGGGAGGGGAGGTTGTGGCAGATACACGTTGATTGAAACAAACTTGTTCTACGGATTCCCACGACAGGTACAACTTAATTGGAAACTGCTACTTGCTACATCGTATAATCTTGCAACTCCAGAAAAAGAAAGAAACTCCTGTGTTTGCTTATACACAATGGTAACTTGCATACGATACCACACATATCACAAAAAGTACGTATTGAACTGTTTAAGCAAACCTTTTTGTCTGCTGAGTTCTTCTGAAGGAGGTTCTGGGGCATCCACCCCACCTGAATCCAATGGCTCTGAAAATTCAACAACAAAGCAGATTAAAAGTCCTGTTCTATTTCAAAAGCCATTTTACACCTGCTTCATCAAAACTCTTGTAAAGTCGCGGAAATTTTATTTTAACCAATTACTTTTGACAAAAGTAATCTCGCAGTCTTTAAAAATCGGGTTCGTAGAAAGTAACTCGAAG